CCCGGCCCAGAGCCCGAACCCGAACCCGAACCCGAACCCGAACCCGAACCCGAACCCGAACCCCCCCCCCCCCACCAAGAACCCGCCCCCGAACCCGAACCCGAACCCGAACCCCCCCCCCCACGGGGCGGACGTTACCCCAACCCAAACCCAAACCCGAACCCGAACCCGAACCCGAACCCGAACCTCCCCCCCCCCCCAAGCGGCCCGGCCCAGAACCCGAACCCGAACCCGAACCCGAACCCTAACCCCAACCCCCCCCCCCCCCCCACAAAAAAAGAAGCCCAACCCGAACCCGAACCCGAACCCGAACCCGAACCCGAACCCGAACCCCCCCCGGGGCGGAGGTTAGGTTAGGGGTTAGCCGGGGTACACTCTGGGATAGTGAGTGATATGCAGTTAGCACACGAACCCGCAATTGCGGATTGTCCACCCATTTCCTGGTTGAATTCTAGTTGTTCCTGAGTAGGGGGTCAAAATTGCACTCCTTCTACCCCCCAGAAGCGCATTGAAAACCCTAAGCAGCCAATAAAAAAGGGAACCAAAGGGGGATGGATCATTTTTCGGATTTTTCCCGACACCTTATCTAGCATGCAAGGGATGCCAAACACCTGGACCTGAAGACCCAAGACCTTGTTGAGGGCCACGATGCCTTGGGGTCAAAGGGGAGTGGAGTTCGATAAACATTTCACCCCTTGCTTGACTTTAAAGGTAAGTCCTCTCCAAAAGTTGCAAATAGGAAGATGCCCCACTTAAGGTTAGTGGGGTCTCCTCCAATTTTTCATATTGGCTGGCTAGGGCATTTCATTTTTGTGTGTTGGCGTGTTTTTTTTTGTTTCAACATATTTTAGGCAAGTGCGGAGCAGAACCTGAACATCTTGTTGGTGTATCCAAGAGCTGGGCCAAGGTTTGTGGGGCTTTTCCAGTCTTCCATCCCCTTCCTGGCCCCCCGGATTGGCTCCCCCCCATTTTTGGTGGCAAAACGAAAAGTCCGGTTACTTCTTTGGCCGGAAGTCCAAGAGAATTCCAAGGTCCCCAGTTCTTCTTTTTTTTAACAACTCATTTGTGTTTGGTTGTTTTTCTCACCCACGCCGGTGAGTGGCCTGTGGCCTGGTGAGCCGGCGCGGCTAGGCAGAGGCGCCGCTACTACCGCGGCAACGTGGACGGGCGGTCGCACCTGGAGCGCGAGGAGGAGAACCTGCGGAGGCGACAGGAGCACCAGATGAGGCGCTTGCGCGGGGCCAGGGCTGGAGCAGTTTCATGTGGGTGAGTGACTTGGTATATGGCTGTGGGTCAAAACCAATGGGATCCCATTTTGCGGTAGGTGCACCACTCATTTTAGTCTATTTTAGTGGGGATTGGAATGTTCACTGGGGATACGGGCTTTTGACCCATGGCCATTTTTTTCTTCTGGTGGTGGTTGTCAAGGGTATCTATCACCATTGAGAATATCACTTAAGCAAATGGAGGAGAGAAAAAAACCAAAGGAGGTTCTGGAAGCGAGAGTGGGTTTCAGCATGCTTTGCTGCATTTAAGGGGGGTTTCGCTTGGTACTAAGAAAGCCGGGCGGTTCACAGGGCACCAACCCCGCCGTTGAAAGCGTTTTGTTTTGGGGAAGGTCCACTAAAGGCGCGCATTGCAAGGGGTGCTCACGTTTCATTGGGCTTTTTATGCCAGCAAACTGAGAGGAAGCAGCATGTGAGGATGTCACCTTGGCCCAGCTCTCCCGGGTTTTTCGTGGTGTCGACCTGGGCTTGGCATGCTTAGGCTCCCCGCATGGGATCGGATTTTGGGGGAGGGGATGGCAGTGAAGCTTCGCAAGCCTTGGTGAGAGGGTGCTGGTGTACACATCTGGCCCCAAAAGTCCCACCGAACCAAACAACTTTGGCGAGTGGCAGGCGTTTTCATTCAAGGTTCCTTGATTTGAACTTCTTCAGTAGCTGGAAGACCGGTACCCATTCCGGAGTCTGCGAAAGTATCTGTTTCAGAATCTTCTAATGCCTATAAGCCTATAGGGAGTACATCAGAAATCGCCCGGTCAGTTTGATCCGCAACTTCACAGCGGCTCGCTGCGAGCGTTGGCTCAACCAACAAAAAATCGAGATCCCAGTTGCCCAGCGGCACTCTACAATCCTTTTTGTGGCGGGTTTCCCGTTCAACAGCATCAAACCAACAAAGGTTCCCCGCTTTCTATCAGGGTCGCCGGTTGCAGCTCGGAATCGGTGTCATGTTTTGTTCCGGACGTGGAACTGCAGCTGCAGACTCGTCAAGGGAAAACTGAATGCTCGCACGCGTGCTGGGATTTGGTTTCAAGAGGCGCCGAAACTTAAATGTGGGTTGTTTTGGACCCGGGACCCTTACCAAAAACGAGTTTGTCCAGCCGCGTTCCTGTTAGCAACGCGCTCTGTAGAGGTGCCTGGAAGAGCAGAGGATGAAAGAGCTGGATGAGCACCGCGGCTGATCCGAGTGAACTCGGAAGTCAGGATTTGCATCCCTCCACACTGGAAAGGTTCAACTTGACTGCTATTGGGTTGGATCTTTAGACTTTGACTTTTGGGAAACCAAGGGGTTTGCCACTAAACCCCCAAAAAGTTAAACACTTTTTGCAGGGGGGTTTGCTTGCAACCAAGCAAAGATCGCCAAAAAAGAGCCCCCAGAAGATTGATAGAACCTGTCCTGCAGCCAGCGCCGCAGGGGGGGGTGGCCTTTGTGGAGCGCTTGTTTGTGGGTTTCCATAGGGCCGGCGCGGCATTGCCTTGGCATTTCCGGCGTGGCTCTCTCTTTTGGAGTAGTTGCGCCCGTTGCAGGCGCTTTTTCTTTACTAGGTCCCCCAGTGGTGCCCTTTGTCACTCCTTTTTTGGTTGGGGGGGTTCCCCTACTAAAATGGACTACAGAAGAAAGGATACCCCTATTCTAACCTCTCTACTGGAGGACCTAGTTTAGATTGACCCACAAGGAACCCCGGCTTTGTCGGGGCGCCCTTGGGCCGAAGCAAAACCAGACTCTTGCCTGTTCCATGTCCAAACTATTCGACTTGTTGTGGGCAGATTTGTTAATCATGGTGCTAAAGGCCCAAACAGACATGTGATTCTCACTTTTTGGCTGGTCAGTCATTTGAGCAGGTGAGTTAGTTCCAATGAAGCCCATTTTGACTATGGAGAAGTGGACTCAAACCTGCCAGTTTTCGGGCTTTTGAAGTTTGAGCCACACCCTTTCGATTCAAACTGACCCCAGCCCCGAAACAACCCCGACCCGGGCCTTGCCCCGAGGTTGCGAGGCTGCACCTTCCGGCCCAACCTCGCGGCGTGGCGAGAGAGAGAGACACTGGGGAGGGGGTGGGGCGGACCCCAGCCCGGTCCTGGTAAAAGTGACGAACTTTTTTGGGTTGCAGGGAAACCCAGGCACTAAACCCAAGCACTAAGCCAACTAAGCTGAAGGCTGGGCGAAAGAGGTTTCACTGAATGGACCGGATCTGACCCCCAAAGAGGTCAAACATCTAATTTCCGAGTCCTTTGGGCGACTGAAGCAACCTTTTGGTATGAACACCTCGGGCAGGGTTTTGCTTGAAGGGGGTGCATGAAAAGAACCCTTGCAGGGACTCGCCCATTGGGCAGCTTCCAGGAGAAACGTTTAACAAAACCCAGCTCTCAGAGGAGCATCGGTCCTTTCCCCGAGACCTGGCCACAAAGGCCTAGGTGTGGGTTTTGGTTTGTGGGGGCGGATGGCAAGATTGTGAGCGTACAAGTGGGTGCCACGGTGCCCTGTCCCTATGAACAACTCTAGGCAGGGGGGTTTCCCGGGTTGCCCGTTGTGACATCCCGCGGGTCCGAGCCGCGCGGGTGATCCATGTGGCCCCCCCATTGAAATGGGTTCCCGAAGAATTTCCCCTTTGGCGCATCTTTGGCTTGGCTTCAAACGACACCTTTGGTTGCCGTTGTGTAACAATTCTTGTTGTGGGGCGATGTTCAAAGAGGGAACTTACCTCTTAAAAAACACAACTTTACAACTTTTTGGGTAACATGGGCTATATGTCTGTAAAAGATTAACTTCCCCAGACCTTGGAGTTTTAAGGGGTAAGGGGAATGTACGGGGGACTCCTGGAAAAATGGTTCGGCGGCACTACAGGGGGCCCCTTTGCACGTGCACACCGAGCTCTGAGACGGATCCAAGGTCAAGAAGCTGAACTCATCTCCCACCACGCCGCGCAGACCCGGCGCCTGTTGCCGCGTTCAGACGCCCGACCCGGTCGAAGGGCTCGAGAGGTGAGGCTTCAGTCCCATGCCCCTCCCGGTATTGGGCTCTAGTCACCTTTGAGAGATCATTCTGGGAAACATCGAGTTGCTTGGGCTTGAGAACTGATCTAAGTCACTCAGGATGAGACATAGCCCCCTTTTTGTGGGGCCATGTCTCGCCTGAACTCTGGTTCCCCCTTTTGGCCCAGCAGGAGGCAGTGGTCATTTAGGCCAGCAATGCTTGTTTGCAATTTTTTGAGTTGTGGGCGCTTGGCGGGGAGCCATCAAGCTGTTGAAAACTGAAGGCTGGGCCCATGCTTCCCTCCAGTACACGCATTTGGGTAAAATTCCCTTTTCGGTGGCACCCTTTCTGGGGGTTGTTCGAAGGGAAAATCTCAAGAAGCCAGCGAAAGGTGAATGAAACCCAATTACCCAGAAGCCAACCCCCTTCCCGCCCCCCCCCCCAAAGAAAAAAACACAAAGAAATGACAAAATAAAGAAACATGTGATTTTTTCTCAAATGTGAACGAACCCCAATCATTCTCGAAAGCCAACCCCCCCCCCCCCCCAAAAGCGGGCGGGACAGCTGCTGGCAAGGCTCACCCTCGCGAAAGATGAGTTCCTTCCTGGACGACTTGGCCATGAGCGTCGGCAGCTACAGCGGCGTGGCTTCAAAGCTGGCATGAAACAAACTCCTCGGTGGATGGGCGCGTTTGTCCAATTGACAAATTAGAAGCACGGGGCATTTGTTATTGACCAAAGGGAGGGATCATTCTCCCTTTCTTTTTCCCAGCCCCCTCAAAAACGCACCTTGTTCCCTATCTTTCCCTTGGCGCTGTGTTATGTGTTCAGCGTTTTTAAGGAACCCTGAGCCCCCCCGCCCCTCTCCCCGAACAACAAAGCAAACAAATACCAGAAACATCATCCGGGGGCACACGTCTGCGTGTTTTCCATTGTTTTCCCCAGCCCCCCGCTCCCCCAAGAAAAGGCGCCGCAGACATCCGCTGAAAACCGCCGTCCCCCCGTTGAGCCCGATCGGAACCGGCGAGCGAATCCGCAACCCGAGGCTCCGAGTCGGCCATGGCCAAGCTGCAGGGCCTGGTGGAGGCGCTGAGCTGTCGGTCGTTGAGCGAAGGAAGCCTTGGTGTTGGAAGGAAGCGAGCGGCCCGACCCTTTGGGGGAAATATGATGGCGGCTCATGTTTTTTTTCCCCCTTTTTTTTTTTAAAAAAAAGCATGGTTGGTGTCCGATATTTTTCTTTCTCGTGCGCAGCCGAGACAACGTGCCACCGGAGACGAGGGGGTTATCTTCTCTTCTTTTGTGGTTATGAACATCGCCATTTCGACCCATGTTGTTTTGTTTGGGCCTAGGTTGGACATCTAGACGAACTTCCTTGATAAAATTTGATTTGGCCAGGTCTTGAACCCGAGGGAGCGCTTAGAAAAAAGCGAGCCGAGAAGCACACCCACGTTCCAGTTGCTTCAGGGTTTCCTCCGTTTCCCTTCTTGCAGCCTCCGGAAGTGGCAACTCTCGAGCTTTGCTTTTGTTGGAGATGGAATGCCTATCAAGTTTTGGGGTTGGGCGGAACGGAGCTAGACTGCACGAATCCACCGGAGGTGATCTGATGATGGTTGTCCAATGCGCCGGAATGGTAGCCTCAAGAAGCACAAAGACATGGACAAACCAGTTCAGTCGCACCCTGCTTTTTTTCTTTGACCATGACCCCCCCACCCTAAACATTGGTTACACAACCAAGAGATGGTTCCGGCTGGCTGCTGGCCAGAGCTCCCGCCGCAGGCGCAGCGCATGGCGCACTCCAAACTCCAGGGCCTGATGCAGGAGGAAGGCCGGGCGCGCTTTGGGGGGTGCTGAGCCGAGGCCCCGGCTTTGGGGGGGGGGGGGGGGGGTGGGGGGGGGGGGGCTTCTATGGTGGCATTTGGGCATTCGGCCATTTTTTGCAGTGGGGTGGTTAAGGGTACTGCAAATTCGCCTCGAAGTGTCTGACCCTGGCTGGCAGACTTAACTTGTCCTTTGGGCGAAGTTTCAAACACATTGCCAAGGTTGGAAGACGAAACTGGCCGAAACTGGAGGTGTGTGTTATGAGGGAGGGGGGTGGTAGCTTCAGAAGCATTTTGAGGTTTGGGGTCGTCCCCCTCGCTCCAGGAATTGGGACTTCCTTCTGCGTTGGGCCAAAGAATTACAATGAATCCCGCCTTTCGTTTTGCTCAGCAGGTGTTTTTTTGGAATGCCACCGGTAAGAACCATCCCTTATGCCTCATCAGTATTCTATAAGCCATACCCCTAATTACAAGCCAAACAGCCGAGGAGACTGGTTCCCGAACAACCCAACCCCCAACCCCCAACCCCCCCCCCCCCCGACCCTGTGGTGAATTCCTGCGGAATCCCCTCGCGACAGGCCCCTTGAAGGATCGGCTTCGAACCTTGCACGGGGAGCTGCACGAGCGCATCCAGCGGGAAGAGACCAACCGGGTCCCCGATCTGAGACGGCATGGGGGGCATATGGGGGACATGGGGGAGCTGAGGGGAAGGGACGCAGAGAACTCTGAGCCCCATTTTGAAAAGAACCGAGTTCCGGGACTGAACAAACACTTTTTTGGGTCTTTCCTGTTGGCACTCACATGCTTTTTGGGTTTGGACCAGTCTTAGTGGTAAACAAAAGTCAGACTGGTTCTTTTTCCACTCCCGTTCGATCGGAAGTGAGTTGGGAAACATCATGGTCCACTTCTATGGTCGGTTTGCTGTTCTTGTGTGGGCGCATCAAAGGTTAGTTGGACCTGCCAATGTTCGGCAGCCCGGGCTTTTTAGGGTTTAATGCACGCCCTACTTTCATGACACCTTGAAAGTCTTTGTTCTTCCGGAGGTTGTGGGGGAGGTGGGACAATTATGATCCCCACCCCCAAGAAAAAGTTCTCAGAAGGGCGACCCTTCGACCAAAGGCTCTAGGAGCGTTTCGCCGCGCCGGGGGGGGGGGTTGCCGCATGGCTTGGTTCTGTTGCATTTGGACACTTGGAGGGGGGGTCTCTTGATTTCCTTCAAGGCGTCGATCGACAAACTCCTGCAGTTGGCATGGATGAAACCCTATGGAGACTGGAATGCACCGCTTACCAACTAATAGGGGATCTATCCACTCTAAGTCAGCTTGGGGTACTCACTCCTTGAGTTCCTGAACTTTAGTCACTTTTGGGTTTGGAGCATAGTGGTAAACAAAAAGTCCGGTTCCTTTTTTTGGCCACTTCCACTCAGGAAGTGAGGGTAAATTCGAGCTTGGAGATGAAGTCCCATTCCCTAACTGGCACCCCCGGTGGATGAAAGGCCGGGCCCCAGAGAAGTGCCGGCTCAGGTGGTCAACATGCTCCAGGACGCCGATGCCGGCTCCAGCTCCCAGAAGAATCTGGTGCAGCCCCTTGGCGGAAACAAACGGTGCCAAGTGGGTGGCTGGTTTGTTCGGTGGGGGGCGCACAAAATTGCGGTTCCCCTTTGGTTAATATCAAGGCAGACCTTTGGCACTCAGAAACAGAAGAGCCAAGTACATGAGTGCGGTTCCCTTTTTTTGGAGGGCGCCACTTTTTGGGGTTGGGAAGTAAAAGGCGAAGCCCCGACATTTCCAATCCCTAGACATGCAAACTGGCGGTCTTAGGATTGATGGACCCAGGTGTCCTGCGGGCATTTTGGACCAGAAAGGGATCGTGGGCCGTGGGTTGTTCTTTGTCCGGACCAAGTCGCCCTTCCAGTTTCGAATTGGCCTAGAGATGCTGATTTCCAGGTTGCTTTTGCCCGGTTGCTCACTACAGATGGAATGGGCCCAAACGTACGTTCCAGGGATTTCCGAAGTACGTTCCAGGGATTTCCGATTTCCCGTCTACCCACATGGGGGCGTCAGTTTGCCCATTTCTGGCGAACTCAGGTCAGAACCCGCAAGTTCTGCGTGGGTTTGGCTCCAAATGAACTGGAATCCATGGCTTTGTGTTTGTCTCCCCTCGGTTCCCCTTTGACGCCACCCCCCCCCCCCCCAAAAAAGAAGAAGAAGAAGAAGAAACATCGGCGCCCTCCAAAAAACGCGGGGGTTGTTCGGATTCAGCATGCGCCTACGCGGCCGGGAGTGGAACAGCAGCACCCCACTCCAAGTTCCTTTCGGACCTTGACTTCTGGGTTGGGCCACCGGCCATGGTTTCGCAGCAGAGGTTTCTTGTTTGAGGGCACCCTTTTTACGGATTGCTTAGGACCATCGCGAGGATCCACTTGGTGTGGTTATTTCTATTTGGACACCCATATTTTTGCAACCAACCCCCCAAACCCTCCCCCAACCCCCCCAACCCCCCAACCCCCCAACCCCCCACCCCAAACCTTCACCCCCAGCTCCCCCGGCCCCGAAGCTTATTGCACTTTTGAGGCGGGTGAGGCAGATGGTGGCCTTGGGCCGGGATCCGGAGACGGCCCAGCAGCAGATCGTGGAGGCTCCACATGGCTGGGTTTGTTGCAAGGTATGCCAAGTCTTAGCAGCGTAGACCCACTCCCACTCCATACTTCCATTTGCTTAAGTTGTTTTCTTTAAAATATTATTATTGTTTTTCCCCTTTTTGGTTTTAAATGGAATTTATCACTACTGGGATCTACTGGACATATTTTTTCCTGGGGTCTAAACCAAATGGCACCTTTCAGACGGACGGTCCAGGCCTCGGTTTTCATGAAATCTAACCGCGGATTTCAGGGTCTGGGGCCTGACATGGGGTCCATCATATGCAATGGGGCTCACTCCTGTTGACCCATTTGTGCACACACACATATATCTATCTATATTATCTAGATACATGCATACTTTTGCTAAGGTTGGCTAAGCTTGAAATGGAATCTAGCAAGATCCTGTATTTGGTGTACCCTGGAGTTCAAGGTGCATGACTACGAAAGTGTGTGGCGAACATCTGCCCCGCAGTTCTTCAATGGTACCCCTTTCTCCGCTTTTTTGTTTCCGGGGTTCCCGCAAAAGTGGGAGTCCAAAATCAAACAAACAGGCGCCCTCACCTGTTTTTCTGCCCGGAGCTTTGGTGCCCTTCTGGTTCCACTCGTCGTTTGCCAGCCATGCGACGGGCTTCAGGGCCGGCCTTCTCTGACCTTCGGGGCCCAAGCGCTCCGCCAGGAGCTGGTGCTGCAGAGCCAGGACGAGGTGCGGCGCCGGGTGCTGGAGCACTTCGGGCCCTTGCGCATGGAGGCCTTCGGGGGAGGTGGCGGGACGAATTCAGGCGATGGGACGGCATGGTGCATGTCAGGTGGGGTTTTGGGGGGTTCATTCCGGGCCGGCTGGAAGGTCTTCCGGTTTTTTGCCTCGCAAAAAACTGGAGGGGATGTGTGGTTGCGCGAGTTCGCAGGAGCGCGAGCCGATGAAGTGAGAAAAACTTGGGTCAAGCAAGCTCAGCCATCCGCTCTGGGTATGGGAGCTTACCGCTGGTGCGGCAAACGCACACAAACACACGCACACGCATACACAAATAACATTCATGCTCTTTTTTTCCTCAATCTTGCACTTCTTGCACTAGTGAAAAGTCCAACACACACACAAACACAACCACAGACAGACACACAACACCAAACAAATGCAGCCGCCTGAAGGGACCGAACCGGTGTCGGTGCAGCATCGCCAGGCAGAGGGCGAGCTCTACAGTCGACAGCTGGCTGTGGCTCACGAGCCTTGGCGCGGGAGGTTGATGGTGGGTCTTTCCACGCGGCATGGAAACTCGGACGGGGTGGGGGGTGGGGCTCCCTTGCACATCTGCAAAAGCAGGGTCCTTGTTGCCTACCACTGGGGGTCTGGGGAACAAATGGCTTCCATTGAAGTTCCTGGTGTAAGGCTACCCGTTTTGGTGTCCTTTTGCAGGAACGCCGACGTTTGAGTCTGTCTGTTTTGAGTTAGTATTTTCTTTTATGTTGGTGTCGTCCTTCATATAGGACCCCCCCCCAAGACACGCCATTTGAAAAATACATACATCTATTCATATATGCATATGTTAATATTAGTGTATTCGGTTCCAATGAGACGCCTCTCCCATTCATCAACCAGAAGGCGTATCAATCTTCTTTGCCTAGGAGATCTGTTTCGAACCCACACATAGCGACAGCGCCTCCCGCAGCCAACCCAAAAATCCCGCCCGCGCGCGTGGCCCGCGTGGCACGCGCGCGTGGGCGTTTCGAGGAGTTGGAGGCGGTGGAGGCCAAGGCCATGGCCTTGCGCGGCGGAACGTTGTGCGAGGAGGTGCGACTTGGCCGTGCGATCGCATGCGCATGCGCCTGCTGGCGCGCGCGTGTCGGGTTGTTGGGGAAGGGGGATGCGAGGGGGGGGGGGGCTGGAGGTCTCTGTGTGTGTGTGTGTGTGGGTGGGTGGGTGGGTGGGTGGGTGGGTGGGTGGGTGTGTGTGTGTGTGCGGAGTGACAGAAGGGGGATCAGGCTTCCAGTGACTGACCTGATTCAACGAAGCTAGGTCACTGGAAGGGAGGTGGCTGGGGACGCTCAGCTATGTACCTGCATCGAGTCGCTCTTGGGCCCCGTCGTGGGCAGCCAGAGGACTCACCCCAACAAGGTCCCCTCTTTGCCCGCGGAAACCAAGCGTCTTGCGAGCCGAAACTCATCATACTCGAGACTCATCAGTTGTACTCGAGACTCATCAGTTGTACTTGAAAGATTAGCACTCTCCATCTGGAGTTTAAGTGTGTACACCCCATTCGTGGGGAATCCTCGGGTGTACCCATTGTGTGACCCCGGGCCGGCTCTGTCGGAAAATTCGGCCTCAACGTGCTTATCATAGAACGGCGGAATTTCAGATTTAATCAGGAACGAGGTTTCACTAAAGGGAAGACAGCCGTCAGATCATAGCGACGTCTCACCCTACGCTCTTTCTTCTCGCCTTCTTCATCCGCGTGCCCGTCTTCTGGTTCTTCGCCCGCTTAGGGATGGCTTCTCCTTCCTCCCGTTCTCTTTTTGCTGCCTTTCGTGACCGCGCGTTCGTCCCGCTCCTGTTCGCCCGCTTAGGGATGGCCTGGTTGTCCTCGCGTTGTTCACCTTTTTCCTCGTCTTCGTCTTCGTGTCTGTCTTCCTGTTCCTACTCCTCTTCTTCCTCACGTAGTTTGGCTTGACGTCTTCTTCCCCTTCCGTTGCTACTTCGGGTCCGTCCTCTTGGCCCCTGTGTGGGATTCGACGTCTTTCTCCGCGAGCCTTGGTCTTCATCCTCTGTTCCTGTCTGGGCGGGATGCGTCGCCCTAAAAACGCATACTACTACTTCCCTCTTCCTCTTCCTTCTTCCTTCTTCCTTCTTTTCTCCTTTTTGTCTCCTTGCCTTCTGCTTCTTGTTCCTTCTTCCCGGGCGGGATGCGGCGCCCTAAATACGCACCCTGCTCCTTTCTTTTTTCCCCCCGGGCGGTTGCGACGCCCTAAATACGCTTTTGTCTCTCTCTCTCTCTTTTTCTCTCTCTTTCTGTGTCTGTCTCTCTCTCTCTCTCTCTTTCTTTCTCTCTTTCGTCCCTTTCCTTTCTTTTCTTTTCTTTCCTTTCTTTTTCTTTCCCTCTCTGGGCTATCTCTTGTTCTTCCTGTTCGCCCGGTTAGGGATGGCCTGTTCCTCTTCTGCCTCTTTGCCTTCGCGGCCCCTTTCGTCTACAAGGTCTAGGTCGTTTTTGCGCTGTTTGGGGTTGTTGCCCTCGGAGACCCGAAACCTGGCTTCCCCGTTGTTCTTGTTTCTTGTTTGGGGTTTTGCCCGCGGTGACCCAACCTGGGGCCTTTCTGTTTCTTTTGGGCTCCCTTGCTCCGTTTGTTTTCTGTTGGGGTCTTCGCCCGGTTTTGGGGCGCGTGTTTTTCTCCCCCCGAAAAAGAGACTTCGCCCCTCATCGAGGGGCGTGTGTGTGCGGAGTGACAGAATGCCCTGTCACCACCATGAGCAGCAGGGGGATCAGGCTTCCAGTGACTGACCTGATCCAACGAAGCTAGGTCACTGGAAGGGAGGTGGCTGGGGACGCTCAGCTATGTACCTGCATCGAGTCGCTCTTGGGCCCGTCGTGGGCAGCCAGAGGACTCACCCCAACAAGGTCCCCTCTTTGCCCGCGGAAACCAAGCGTCTTGCGAGCCGAAACTCATCATACTCGAGACTCATCATTGTACTCGAGACTCATCAGTTGTACTTGAAAGATTAGCACTCTCCATCTGGAGTTTATGTGTGTGTGTGTGTGCCTGTGCCTGTGCCTGTGGCTGTGCCTGCGCGTGCCCGTGCCTGTGTGCGTGTGCTTGTGCGTGTGCGTGTGCGTGTGGTTGTGGGTGTGCGTGGGTGTGGGTGTGGGTGTGCGTGTGGGTGTGGGTGTGGGATTGGTTGTGTGTGTGTGTGTGTCTGTGTCTGTGTCTGTGTCTGTGTGTCTGTGTGTCTGTGTGTCTGTGTGTCTGTGTGTCTGTGTGTCTGTGTGTCTGTGTGTCTGTGTGTCTGTGTGTCTGTGTGTGTGTGTCCACCCCTGTTTCCAAGGGATTCTTTTTGTGCTTGCCCGGCGGCCAATCGCCAATCGCTAGGCCTGAGCCTCGGCGATTTCGGCGACTTTTGCATCTTGGGAAGCCGCGCAGGGTACCTCCTTAGGCTTTCCCCAACTGAAATTCTTCTCGAGTCCTACAAAGCATGTCACCCGATCCAGGCTGGACACGCCTGGGAAACTGCCGGAGCATCAGCTGTTTTCGAATCTCTCTTTACCGATTTCCGTTTGTACAGCACTGAGGGTCAAGCTTTCACCAGCTGTATTTCCTCTCAAGTGCTGGGTGACATGTCACCCGATCCAGGCCGAATACGCTTGGGACAGTGGAACCTCGATCGCTTGTTTGGGTTTCTCCTTACCGTTCTCTAATTGTGCAACACAGGGGGCCAGGAACCCACGGATGTCTGTCCTGGCCAACGAAGACCAGACATCGTGGGGGTGACAACGTACCTGCCTTTCCTTTTTCCTCCCTCAGTTTTTCCTTGGCATGCTCAGAGCTGCCCGCGGCCTGTCCGATATTTTTGCTCGGCCTTTGTGGCTTTACCATTTCTCTCCTTGTCACGAGCGCTCTTTCGCGAAGCCAGAGGAACATTTAGGATTAGTCCGGAGAGAATGGTGCACAAGTGTGCTCACGCCGGTTGTTCGTTTAACGTCCCGGCGTTGGTGGGAGTTGCCCACCCATCGACTCGCCAAAAGGCATGACTGATTGCATGCTTGCAGCCCTTGAGTTGACCGCTGCATGCAGCCTTGGAGTGATTCCAGTTCCCGTAACTGGCCAGAATCTGATTGCAGCTTGCTGCCTCTGAAACCCACTGAGGACGCCTCAACACTTCTCTGGTTGGCTTCGGCCCTCTGAAATATTGTTTTCTTCGGACCTTTGAGTTCTGAGCCTCACGTAGGCAATCGGGTCTATGACTTGGAAGCAGCACTGTGCCCATGCAACGCGGAAAAAGTGTAGACATGGCCTCGCAAGCCTCGGCGCCATGGCGGTTCGGCGACCAAAAGGAGTGGCAGTGGAACTCCTAAAAGTGGTCCGACGATTCATGGTCGCCCTGGAGCCATGACAATCAGTGGAGTCATTCCAAAGGAGAGCAGTCAGAACGGCGTCAGGACAGTGCGTCCCGAGTGCCAGAAAGAAGCTTTTGGAATTCCAGTCCCGGCGCGGCAGTCCCCGCGCCGAAAGCGCAGGCGGCGCCGAATTGGGTTTCGGACGACACCTTTTGAGACAGCAGCAAGGTGAGAGGGTGCAGGCAACAGCCTGGAGCCATCGCCAGAACTTGGCAGGGCGCGAAATTACAGAGTTTGTGCGTTTGTATTAGTTGTCCCACCACGGCTTTCAGGATTTTGGGTTCAGAATGTTATCCGAAGGCCCGTTTCAAGGTCTCATTTATACTAGGTCAGTGTCGGAATCGGTCTTTGTAAAGGCGCTAGTCAAGAAATTGCGGGAGGCCCAAGTAGATCTGGACATATCTGGACTCAGTTGCCCAGACGCTTTTCGAACCTGGCGCTGCCCCTGACAAACATAAGGAGGCAATGAAGTATATGCAACCATTGGATTCAGAAGGTTGTGCAGCCACTCCTTCAGATGGCTGCTAAGTCTGATTCGAACGTTTCTGAGGAACTCCTCCGGAGGCGTGAAAAGATGGAAGCCATGGGAATTCAGCTCACCCCTAAGAAGCGCTCACGTTCTGAAGAACGCGATAGCGAACCCGCTTCCAAGTCGATCAGGGCGTCGGAACCGATGCCCGAGTGCCTTCGCGTTCCCTTCAAGCCGATGACATCCCAACCCGAGGGCCATACTGAAGCTGTTGTTTCCCAATGGGTTGAAAAAGCTGTTGGGCGTTTGAACAAGGCCAAGGCAAAGCAGTTTTCCGAGCACATGCAAGAAGTAACCAAGTTGCTTCGCAAGCAAGATCGCTCGGTTTTGAAGCAAGCCGCCTTGAAATACGGCCTTGAGCCCAACCTGGCAGCAAAGATGGCCAGTCGCAACTTGTCGACCTTGCTGTCAGCCTGTCAATATTTGGCAGCCTGACTAGGCCTGGAAGTGGAAAACCTCCGATGTGGCTCGAAGAAGCCATCTTTAATTCAAGATATTTGCGCTTTGGGCTCAGCTGTCACATTCTTTTTGCATGAAGTCCCGGATGTCCCGAAAGAGGGCATTTTGTGGGCTCAGGGGCTCCTTCACCTCTTGTTGTTGTTTCATTTTTCAGGCAATTTCCCGCAATCGCACTCTGTGCATCTCAAAGAAAAGCTTGCAGAGATGCAAGTCAGGCCATCGAGCTACACATGGCCACAGTTTCAAGTACCCAACTCAGTGTACTGCAAAGTGCAGGTGGGCTGGACACCGAGAAATGTTTACAAGCAACCTTCCCCCATGATGTACGTTGGAAGCACATCCCTCCGGGTCTCTCAGAGAGAGTGGAACCGGATGGCAGCGGTCAGGAGAATTCAGACCAACCCCCATGTGCAGGCTGAACTGGCCATTCGGTATTGGAACAGCAAGCGGGATTTTCAACAATTTGCGATCTTCAAAATCGCGCACTGCGCCGATTATCGGCAAGCCTGGGTCTTAGAACACCAACTGATTCAGCGATGGCAGCCAAGATTGAATTTTCCATTTATCTCCCGGTTCCTGCAGCGCAAAGCGCTGGGATTCCGCACTTCCTCTCAACGCAGACGAAGTGTTGCGTTTCGGTTTGGCAAACGATTGTGGGCGAAGCTTCGCAAAAAGCTATTTGGAAGCCGGCTACCTGTTTCCATTTGTGTATCCCGACAACAAGCTTGGGAATACGTTTTTGATCTTCAGAGTGCCACCAAGGCAGCTTTTGATGCCGCCCGTACCTTGTGCTCGGCGAAGGTCACTGATCAGGAGGTGTATGCGCTGCTCAAACTCACGCATGCGCTAGAACAGCCAGGGCGAGCCAAGGTTTTTGGTTTTTTTCGGTCTATCTGCAAGTTTCGCAACATGTCCTGGCCTGGTGGGCAAAGCAGATCGCTACAACCACCTTTTTGGCACAAGACAGCTTTGTCGCAGAAGTTCAGCAGTGGCGAAAAAGCGAAGTGATCCTGCGATTTAAAGACATTCTCATTCCCTTTCATTTGCCTTCGCACAAGTGGCGGGAAGCAGCCCGCCCGTCGGTGCGTGACCAATTGTTCAATTTCCGCCAGTGGGAAACCAGGCTGGCTGAGCCGGGTGGTGTTCCGTGCACTTGTGATGCCCTCAGGGCATCTTTCCCTAGCTTGCAGGATTGTCGAGGGCACGTTGCGGCAGGTCTGGAAACTTTGGCCAAGCTTCCATCGCACCTGCGGCAAGTCACGGGCGCAAACGCCTTTTTCCCCAATAGGACGACTTATTTTGCTGAGCAAGTTCCTCGCTTTCGGAGATGGTGCCGTCAACATGGCATCCCATTGCATGTGGTTCAAGACTTTGAACGACTGTTAGATCGACTTTGGCTTCCTCACGCCACCGCTGTGCGCGAACAAGGGCGCACAGATTGGCGAGCCGTGCAGAAGATCCGGCATATTTTTGCACAAACAGCTGTTCTGCATTGTGAAGACCACCAACCGCAACATTTGATGATTTTTTGCGCCCGTGGATATTTTGATGCCTGCCTGGCCACCTGGAACGACCCCAACGTGTTCCAAGCTCTGGAGGGCACACAAGCCAGTTGGAGCCGTCAATTGCACAGTTGTATTCCGGGAATTATCCGGCGCAACTACTCCTGGGGAATTAGGAATGACTGCCAACTTCCGTTTGGATTTGTTCTGCTGAAGCGCAAGAAGTCCTTTGAGAAAGGACGGAGTATCATATCCTATCGTAGATCCGTGATGGAGGACTTGCTCCGTGGAACAGCCGCGGCGCTACAACTTATGGTTCGGACCGTGTGGCCTGAGGCCCTAGGGTTGGAATCTTTGCCACAGCTATTCGACATGCTGCATTTGTTTCTGCAGAGCACGACAGAGCCTTACCACCTTACGGAATGCAACGATGATTTAGTCAGATTTTTCAATGCAGTCCCGCAAAGGGAGATCATCCTCAGTGTCCAGTCTTTGCTTGAAGATTTTCGCCGACAACGTGGATCTATCCATATCTCTGTTGATTTGAGGTCCTTGCCAAATTTTGAGAGAGCCTTCCTGGGGAAGCTCCGGCAAGGGACGAGCAAATACCGCAAACACATCGCCCAAGAGGACATTCCAGCCATTGTGCAAGCTTCTTTTGACACCGGCATTTTCTGGGCCGCTGGGCCTGTCCGGTCACAGATTGATGGAACGTCAATCGGGAACCAAATCAGTCCCGTGTTAAGCAGTCTACCAGTCTGCAGAGCAGAGATTGCTTGGAAAAGAGCCTTTAAAGCTCAGCAATTCCAAGCCGCTTTTCTCTGCCGCTATGTGGACAATCGAATTGTCGTGGCCACAGAGAGCGATTTTCAAACAGATCGAGGCACTGGAAACTTGTCTTTTTATGGCGATCGGATTTGCCTTGAATCGGTCACTGACCATTCATGGCTGGGGTTCACTATCAGCGCTCCCAACCGTTCAATCGTGTACAAGCTCCCCAGCTCGCCCCACCAACTGCACAGTTACCAGTCCGCAGGGTCATTGCGCTTGCGGTTGTCTGGGCTCCGTTCACGAGCCGCGTTAATTCGGAAATATTCATGGCCCCGTTCTGTAATTCAACCCTCCTTGCAGCAACTCCGACACCTGTACCTGGAAGCAGGGTACCCCGAGCCCAGCCTACCCACAGTGGCCGCGCTGTCTAAGTCCAGCCGACCCTGAGTTTGGACTGTTATGTCTGTTTGTCGTTCTGTTGGGTCCTGTTTTCTGTCCTGATTGTGTGGAACAAGGGTAGGGATTTCTCAGTTCTTTCAGTTTTTCGCCGGAGGCGCCTTTTTCAAGTTTAATCTGGCGACCCGGCCCACGCAACGCCAATTTCGCAAATACATCTGGCGCCTTTTTGAAGTAAATGGCGACAGACCTGACAGATCCAGCCAGCAGACCAGCGTGCTTGCAAAAGTTTGCGTGCTATCCGCCGGACTTCCTTCTTTGTAT